TTTGGGCGTTGCAGTCATGAAATATGGGATCAGCATGAACTAATTGTAATACAATCGTCATTTACATATAAGATCTCTAATTGGAGATCCATATTTTTCTTTTTTTTATCACCTCTTGACTTGCAATGAAACTTTCTTATCAGACGCAGAATTAACACCTCCGTGATGTAAGAATTTTATTTTTCTGCAACCGAAACAAAAGTCGTACATTTTAAACCAAAATTAGTTCTTGAATTGACCTTTCTATTACTGACACAAAAATAGATATGTTGCTAGGTAACACATTTAGTTCCTAGGAGCTCAAGTTGAACTTTGGTTCCTATTTGCGTGTACAAAGTTTTTGATATATCCCCTAAAAAAAATCCAGCTGTGTCAAATAGGTGACCGCGCCGGCCAAGGGACTGCAGACTGAGAACCAATCCATTTTTCTGGATGAAAACGCACGAACTTCTCTGGAATTATGTACCGGAGCGCCATCTTCTTGAAACCAACAGTTCTGAACTTCCGCAATCGGTAAATCATCTAGAGCTTCCTCAAGATGATTCTCAAGCAAATTTCTATAACGTTAGGAAGTCTGTGTTTCATGGTGAATAAAAGGACCAATAATTCGTGTACCAAATATTGCAACCCACATATTAAAGCCGAAACGGTGTATTGGTGTCTCGCTGTAATGTATAACTGTTCATTTCCTCGTGAAGAATAATGTGTATTTTTTCTATCGAAGATACCATGATTAGTGACCATGCTTTCATCAGTCCAGATCATTGTTCGAGGGAAATCTGCAACATTTTGACATTTCCTGGTATACCACTCACAGAATGTCCTGCGCCTTCTGTAATCGCCTGGTTTTAGCGCTTGACATATTCTGAATTTGTATGGATGGAATTTTTGTTTCCGCAAAATGAAATGGGTTGTTGATTGAAACCAGTTGATGAGGTATTAGTGTATTGAATAATTTTCCTTCAAAATAAGTGGAACTGATGGCATTTTTCCTTTGGAATTTCGATAAAACATTGATGATGGCTGAAAATAGGTCGAAACACACATAAACCACTTTGTATAATACATGGTTGAATTCAGAATAAAAAAACCTTTCAGAATCTGTGAGAAAATTATCAGGACTGTATTTGAAAAACAAAAGTTGATGATGGTTCCACGAATACGAAACGTCGCATGAAAAATCGGTATCACCACGTTAAACGTCATCAAAAGTTGCTATAGAAAAGTATTTTCAGTTTTTCTGTATCTCTAATAATAAGGGAGAATAAAAATAAAATAGATATTCCAAAAATTCACTTTTTTCGATATAACAAAAAAACTATGAATAATTTTGAAAATTTTCGAAGGCTCTTGATATGAGCCTCCGAATGCGCAACTTATTCCCCATTTAACCGACTTCGTATCTCCTACCGCGTTTTCGAGATCCCCATGCTGTTCAACCATATCTTGGACAGACTGTATATTTAATTCTCCCGTCTAAAAGTGCAGAATTGAAATTTGAAATTGACGTGTCTCAGGAGATTCCTCAGAAATGGATAGTTTGGCTAAAAATAAACTAATTCAACGGAAGCACTGGTATATATCCACAATAATTCTCAGTTTCCTATAGTTTTTTAAGTATCAACAAATATAAAAAGCAATGGCTACCGACACTCCTTCGAGTATTCGATCACTTCTAGTGGAATAATATGCCAGCATCATTGTTCAATATTCATTAAGCAATGAATCACTATTCCGCATTCATTGGGAAACACTCTGTATAGGCTCGTGAATGATTTCATGCATAATTCATATGACCAAACTGAAACTATTACAAATATATTTGTCATACATCAATAAATTAGACAAATCATATCTATGAATACCTACACCTTCAAGACGTAATTCAGTTCAATTTTTTTCACTTGTCAATTGTATAACCAGAGGCGTTCGGAGATTTGATTTTCAAACCCCTGTATCTAAATAACCCCGGAAAACATTCTAGCAGTATGGTGGAGACTTAGAAAGCCCCAAAATGATTTCAATTGGGGTTATTGAGTATTATGAGTAATCTCAATGGTGGTCTTGAAAACACCTACATTAAATTTGGATTCAAATCGAATTTTTATTGTTTCCTCAAAAACTAAGCTAGATACAAAAATCACTCACGGGATGAAAAAGTTGTTATTCAAACAGTTCGATCTCATAAAGATATGAAACCCCGAAAAAACGGTGGCGTACAATGACATTCACCATAAGTATCGATAAATATACTCACTGTGACGCCACTGGAATTATTATTTCGAATTTAATTGCACCAGAAGAAGCTCCATACTACTATCAACAAAACCACAACCTTTCATTGACATTGATAAAAGACAATTGAGTAATGAATCCTGTATTTCAATTAGAGGCGAATTTTCGAAAACGTCTCGAGTTAATAGTCTAATATAAATAATGGATATCGAGAAGGCCGTTCCTGAATATACTGGATCAAATGGGCCATAGTTTTAGTCACCATTTTTGATTTTTTTCACTGAAATGAGATTTTATCCTATTTTCTTATCATCCTGTATATTCCAAAAAAGTGCTGTTTTCGTCATTCATTGTCCTCCACAGAACATGAGAATAGTTCTTCCCAATAGTCAGCTCAAGTGAAGTTCCAGAGAAAAAAATCAAGAAATGCAGGACTTTCGAAAAAAAATCGAATTTTTGTTCCGATGACCAATTGAGGAGGATTCACGAAAATGTCCCGAGATGAGGTCCCAGTGTATCATAATATGACTGACTTTTGATCAGAAAAAAATTTCTCAAGTTCTGGCAGCATTGGAAATGTAGACCATAGTTTAATGGTTCCACTTTACACCCTGTGCAAGTTTTGTTCTGCGGACTTTTTCAGAGTGTTCTAGCTCTTTGTGAAGCCGATAAAATATCACATCTGATATCGAAAACCGCATGAAGATCGGTCAATTTTTTCAAAAAATACAGGTCTTCGAAATAGAGTCAAATTATGAGTGGTCCATTTGGTGTGTTGAGAACTGTATTTTGCGAAAATATTAGATATTAATGTTTTTCCCGCCGTAGTGTGGGAAAATGACGCTTCACAAACTAAATTGCGTGCGGGTATAGGGTGAATCACGCACGCTTGTAGAAAACAACAACTATTCTGAACCCTGAATAAGTACATTAAGTACCGTCTGTAGGTCAATCGAGGAGGTGGTACATTCATTTTACTTGATTTTTTATGATTTCCTCTCCTCCTAGAAATATACAGGGTGATTCACATAAGAACCGACATAGAGCAGGAGCATGTAGGGGGTCTCAAAATATGGCAATTTAACGCAACTTACCTCTATACCAAGATTACCAAGTTGCTTCCCTGAGGAGTTATAGGCTTTGAAATTGAAGTTATAAATTTTGAAAAAAATCAATATCTCCGTTATTCTTGAACTTAAAGCTACCAAATTTAGTACACTTTGTGGATGTATTCAGAGCGTTACTTGAAAGTAACTAGAGTTCAATTGGAATTTGTAAAGGGGGTATACCGGGTGGCGCACCATTAATATTCAACAGAATTTTGGTAACCCTTGATGGATTTTGAAAATCTCTGCTTTGTTTTGTGGGCGATTCAATTCTAAAACTTTTTTTAATCTAGTAATTTCTCGAAAAACCTCATCATTTTCATCAAAAACTCGAATAACTGAAAACGCGTGCTCTAAGGTGTGTTATTTAAAATCATCGAAAATTCAAAAGTTGGCTATGGAAATAAACGTCGAACTTGACAATGAAGCAAGTAATTTGTTCAATTAAGTATTTCATCGATAAACAATTGTTTGTTCTGGTTGTTGTTTAAGTTTTTTGTGTTTATTTTGGTTAGTTGTTAATCCCAGTTTTTCACATTTCAGTATCTGTCCTTACTTTAGGTATTTTGTTACGTATCTAAATAATAATTTTCCAGCCAATTCCTACTGATCACTATTTATGACCTACTTTCTTATTGAACGTTTATTTTCATAGCCAAATTTTGAATTTTCGATGTTTTTAAATAACACACCTAGAGCGCGCGTTTTCAGTTATTCGAGTTTTTGATGAAAATGATGAGGTTTTTCGAAAAATTACTGGACTAAGAAAAGTTTCAGGATTGAATTTCCCACACAACAAAGCAAATATTTTTGAATTCCATCGAGGTTTAACAAAATTCTGTTGAATATTAATGGTGCGCCACCTGGTATACCCCCTTTACAAATTTCAATTAAGCTCTAGTTACTGTCAATTAACGTCCTAAATACATCCACAAAGTGTACCAACTTTGGTTGCTATAAGTTCAAGAATAACGGAAATATTGATTTTTTTCGAAATTTATAACTTCACTTTCAAAGCCTACAACTCCTCAGGGAAGCAACTTGGTATAGAGGAAAGTTGCGTTAAATTGACATATTTTGGGACCTCCTACATGCCGCCCCTGCTCTATGTCTTTTCTTATGTGAATCACCCTGTAGATATATTGAAGAAATATCGAATTTTTACTTATCTTTCTTTCCTTCAAACATTTTTTCCAAACAAATTGTCACTGACAAGCTACTGGATTTTTCTTTTAGGCTCCCTGATAGAAAAATTTTTTAAACGCATCAGTGACATTTTGGGGCAAATCATCTGATTTGTCCTACTACAAATATATTGAAATAATACGCAAATTTTTAGTTCATAGAAACGAGGAGAGAAAATCCCAAAGAATCAAGTGAAATGGAAGTACATTAAGTGATTCTTTCAGGACTGAAATGAGTGTGGTGAATCAAATATTTCAGTCATAGCAGTCACAAAGAATACTGAGGTAAGTAATCTTGATTACTATCGTTGAAATTGTTTAATTTTGTCTAGATATTGACCCTAGATACAAAATTCGTCCCCCCCTACGGGTCCGCAATTCAGCTAACTTTTTCCTTTTACCAATTCTCAGGGAGACACCTCACCTCAACCTCACCAACAACCCTACTTCTTCAGCTACCATTCCGAATGACTTCAGTTCATCTCAGGTGATCGCATCGACCAGATCGACCTCAAAAAAAATAATCCGATCACTTTCGATCTCGAGCGCGGCGTGATATACAGGGCGTTGCGAACGGCGATGGTATAATTCATAGCAGGCGGTGACTTTTTTCCGAAACCATGCGAACCGTCGTCGTTTTTTTGGCAGTGATGGCTGCCGTTTGGGCCAAAGAATGCCCCGCGAACAAATCGAATTCGAAATTGTTTTGCTATTTCAGCAAGTTGACGGATATTGACGGGTGTCGATGTTCGTATGTTATTTTGCCTGCCGACGCGGATGTCAAGTCAGTGGAGCGCGTGAGGGAGGTTTATGAAGGGGTGAAGGTGTTGGTTACTGTCAACGAGTTCAACCAGGTAGGCAATGATTGAAGCATGATCATAGTGGCGGGTGACTTCAATATAAATTACAATGACATTCAAAATAATACTACTCAGTCACTAATAAATGTATTGGAATCCTGTAATTTGAAAATGTATGTGACTGAGCCAACACGTCTAACACAGGACAAAGAATCATTGATTGATTACATATGTAGTAACGTCGATAACGTGACCACAAAAGTCTCACCTTCTGGTATATCTGATCATGAGGCCGTACTCAGCTGCATCACTGTATCTAATGATTCCAAAATTAAAAACAAGACTTTTCATTACGGAAGACTCTATAGCAGAAACAACTTCAGTAATGTGCTTTTCTCATACAGAAAATTAAACATAAAAAGAGGAAACCATGGGTAACATTAGGTATAAAAGTTTCAGCTAACAATCTACGATCACTACATACCACAAGAAAATTTTCAAAGGAAATATGGTTCAATAATTAATATGTAAAATACAGAAACATTTACCGTAAGATATTAAAAAATGCAAATGAAATCTACTATAGATCCAGAATTGAAAAGGCAGATAACCCTACGAAAGAAACCTGGAAGGTGATGAATGAACTCAGGGGTAAAACTTGCCCAAGTTCTTGCATAACCACATTGAATCCTGACACTCTCAACACTCACTTTTGCACACTTGCTGAGAATATAACTAATAAAGTGAAGGCAACTCATGATCCCCTTGATATCATGAACACTGTTGAATTGAATGATGAATTCCAATTGAGAGATACCAACATTTTTGAACTGAAATCAGTAATTCATAGTATAAAGAAGAAAAATGCATCAGGAGTTGATGAAATATCAGCGAACGTTTTCCAAAACCTTCCTGATTCAGCATTATCGGTTCTTGTAATGCTCATAAATAAATCATTTCGATGTGGAGAATTTCCTGCTTTTCTTAAACAATCTATAGTTATCCCTATTCATAAGGGTGGGGATTCATCAGATCCAAACAACTACCGCCCCATTGCTCTTATACCAACGTTAGCGAAAATAATTGAAAAACTGGTTAAAATCAGAGTGTTGGACTACTTAAAGAAAAATAATATATTGACAGAACAACAATTCGGATTCCAGCCAAAGAAAAGCACCAATGATGCCCTGTTTTCTTTCATGAATCAGGTGTACTCGAGCCTCAACAAAGGGGCAGCAGCTGCGGCAGTATTTTGTGATTTCTCCAAAGCTTTTGACTGCGTGAATCACGAAATATTGCTGCGGAAGCTGCAGCGACATGGTTTTATGAATAGAAGTATGCATTGGTTCGAGACTTATCTCATCAATCGACAACAATCGGTTAAAACTAGCAGCGTCTCAAAGGCCTCAAACATAAAGCACGGAGTGCCACAAGGCTCAGTCCTTGGACCAATCCTTTTCCTTCTCTACGTGAACGATATGGCTTCTCTGAATATAAACGGTACAATCACATTATTTGCTGATGACACAACCATCCTTTGGCAAGAAGAGAATGGCTCTATATTAGAATCAAATATAATGCAGGATATAAAGATTATCAAAGATTGGTGTGAATCAAACCTCCTTTCTCTAAATATTAAGAAAACCAACATCCTGACTTTCCATTGCAATATTCCCAACTTGAATATTGGATGTGAGGTGATAGAAAATAAATTGTCTACTAGGTTTCTAGGCTTATTCATAGATAATAAGTTGTTGTTTACAGAACATGTGACAGGTTTATGTAAAAAACTGGCTTCTGGATGCTATGTTGTAAGAAACATTGCCACGGAATTAGGATCTTCATCTGCTAGAACAGCATATTTTGCCTTAATTGAGTCTCACTTGAGATATGGAATAGCATTTTGGGGGGCCTGCAGTGATCATTTATTCCAGAAGAGTTCTGTTTTGCAGAAACGAGCCCTCAGATATATAGGCCGGGCGAAATCTAGAGATAGCTGTAGAGACTTATTTAAAAATTATAATATTTTAACTGTGGTTTGTTTATACATATTAGAACCAGCGTCTCTAATTCAAAAAAACAAATATGCCTTACAACTTGTCTCGTCACGATACAATACAAGGCAGAATGGTCAGATTAAGTTGATAAGACCCCGAACCACTATGGTCAAGAACTCGATCATTTATAATGGAATAAAAATATTCAATCACCTTCCAACCGAGATCAAAGAAATATCATGTGATAAAAAGTTCCGCACTAAAGTCAAAGCACTACTCGTCCAAACTCCACTCTATAGCCTGGATGAATATTTTTCATTGGAGTTTTGATTTACTGAATTTTAAATGAAGTTAATATATTTTCAACTAGGTAGACATAGCTCTATACGAGCTTTTGAATGTTGTTTGTTATTTGTCGTACTATTGTCGTACTTTGTGTTATTTATTTTCATGTAATTTAACAAGCTTTGTCAAAAAGTGTGTTTTTACTTGTGACAATAAAGCATATTTTGAATTGAATTGAATTGAATTGAATTGAGGGGTAGTTGTAGATGTAGATTGTAGATTGTAGATGGGTCGTATAGGCTGAGAGACCTCTCGATCACTGCGACCTGGAAGATCTATTGTGATTACCCCTATCTAGTTTTGGTCCTCTAACCCTAGACTTCTGATGAAGCCTACGATTTTCCTGACGGTTGACTTTTCCACTTCAGCAGGGGTGAGATAGACCTGTTCTAGGTGGTTCAGCCTTTGGCGGACTAATACTTCACATGAGCAAAGTATGTGTTCCGCGGTTTCGGTCGCATTGTTACAAAAGCGGCAAGTGTCAGTCTCCGCCAGACCCATCTTTTTGAGGTGGTACCTCAGAGGGCCGTGTCCTGTGAGAAAGCCTGTGATAAGCTTCAGCTCTGGTTTGCTGAGGCTGAGTAGCTCTTTGGCTCGGTTCTGCGAATGATTGATGAACCTTTTCGCTTGTCGTGGACCTGGAGTTGCTCTCCAGTAGGAGGACTTTTCAATGTCTTCCCATTTCCCGAGTTCTTCCTTTAGGTGACATTTGCTTATCCCACAAAAAGGCTCAGGACCAAAAAGTGCAGATGCTGCACCTTTTTTTGCAAGGCGATCAGCTGACTCATTTCCTTTGATTCCTTCATGCCCTGGAACCCACATAAGTGTGACTTTGTTGCCCTTTATGAGGGGTAGTTACGACATTTCACGTTGTATTTTTTTTTTCTTGTGATGAGACGGCGAGGGAATATTTTTTTTACAAGAATATCAAATAAGACCAGACAAATATAGGTATTTATGGAACTAGTGCAGAATGGGTTTGTTTGTTGCATGAGGCATAAAGTTTTCATCGGGAAGATAGCGAAAGCTTCAATCATGATGAGTGAAATTTGTTACACACAACATTTTTTCTTAGATTGAATTACATTAATTTCCATTTCAAACTTTATTGACATTAATTACTCTCAGTAAACAGAAAAGTCACCTATTTCCAACAAAATAGTACAAATAAAACAAACATTCTCATAAGAAATTATCAAATTTCTAATTCTCAATTCGAAAATACTCCCAAATGTCACAAATTACAGTAACATATGGGTACTCATAAGATTGGAGTATACAGGGTGGGCCAATGGAAACTTTCCACCCCAATTTGTATGTTTGAAAATAAAAATTTTGGAAAACGCTCGAATACGTCGATATTTGATTTGAGGGGGAACTAATTTTCAGAGGTTTTCACCCCCGTATCTTTAACCCTGTAGCTGGGGGGTGAACAACCCTCAAAATTTGAATAGGGAAAAGGGGTCGTGCCATACCTCGTTGTGAAGGTCTCATTGAGTTCTTCATGGCCCTATAATTTTGCCTTATTATTTTCATCGATAACGAAATGACAGGTTGTCAAAAAAAATTGAACACATGTTGCAGTCGCGAGGAATGACCACAAACAATGATGTTTTTCTCTCATTTTCTCCATCTCTCCGAAACTACAATCATAAGTTTCCAATGACAATACCTAACTAACCTGATATTTCCTATGCTCTTTTCCATCATCAGAAATGTTTACCAGATTGTTTCGGTACTTCAGACAGCTCTTGGGGGGGAGTCCAGACCCCATGGACCCCTCCTTAATTACGCCACTGGTATAAACCCTTTATAATGGTCAGAGAAATAAAAAAACGATATGTATAATCTTTATTTCAATATATAATTATCAAACTATCAGCTAAACTCTGATCAAATAATTAGATCTCAGAGCGCACTTTCACCGTACCACAGATAACATCGATTGAATTTCCAGGGTCTCATCGATATCTTGAAAACCAGCAAAGTCGATGGTTTGGAAATCGATCTGAAGAAACTGGACTCCAAGAACGACATATCCGATTTCATTTCGACCGTCAGGAGCAAACTCGGCTCCGACCTGTACTTGGCTCTGTCGGTGCCCGCCAGGGCCGAAACGTTGGCCAAGTACTACGACTTCAAAGGGCTCAGCAAGCATGCCGACGTCTTCATTCTACAGACGGCTTTCCTGGGTGCCTCGAAAAACGTCACTTTTCATCCAAGTAGGCTGTCGGGACTTTGGGACACACAAAATACGGTGAGTTTGAAGTTAATTTAGTGTTCAACATTGTTTTTTAACTGTCATTGTCCCTTGTCAACACTTTATTCATTCACTCTACGAGGCGTAAAGTATGTTTTCACCACCAAGATAGTTTTTATCATTTCAAGAACCACTAGACTCTGCTATAATTAACCCGAATTCACTGTTCTGATGCGAGATTCGTAGAAATAGCACTCGAATCTACAGTTCTCAACACATTGAATGGACCACTCATAATTTGACTCTATTTCGGAGACCTGTGTTTTTTGAAACAATTGACCGATCTTTATGCGGTTTCCGATATCAGATGAGATGTCCATCGTCTTCAAAGAGAGCTGAAATACTCTGGAAAAGTATATCAAGCTAAGCATATTTTCCTCGATATTTTCACTTTAGAATTATATTTCTTGACGTTTGTAGAAAAATGTTGTTTGCAACTCGAGCGCGAAATTATCATTTCGCACTCTAGATATAAAAAGAACTATATCCAAAAATCCTCTTGAATTGTCGATTTGACAACGGTCACAAAGTAATCAAAACAAATCCATATTTTCAACTGCTTTACTCTGAGTTAATTATCGTTTTCCTCTTGATTGAAGGTCATTTTTCGGCAACCCAAAACTACTATACGAACACCAAAATGATTGATTGTTTACCATATTCATCAATGAAATCAAGCCAATGAGGAAAGTAATGCAATGCGATCGTCGTGAGATAATCAACAATATTATATCACCTTTCATAGGTAGGTAGTCGAGATCTCTTATATAAGTCAAGGTTACGAAATATCAGTGACAAACTACAGGGCCGTCTTAGGTCAGTTCGCAATTTCAATCATACAAAAACTCCTACCTACTTACCTATAAGTTATGATATACCTACTCTTGAAACAAAGCAAGCATTATTCATCCAGAATTCTCATGAAATCAGCTGGAGAAATTGATCTTCTGGATAGGCATTTTGATCTATCCAGGTTCATATGTTCAATTTCCTATAGTAATACTTCTACAATCCATGCTATAATCTATATTACGTCATATACAGTGTGTCTCTAAAAAGAGTGTACTATATGTTAACACAAAATACTAAGTTTTGAATAATATGAGAATCCAGATCAATTCACCTCAGTCCAAAAGTTGATATTCCCGAGATACAGGGTTTCACGGTTGTTGTTTTACAATAGCCCTCATTATTACTCGTTGAATAATATATTCTATTACTTACATTTTGGCGAGCAATATGGAGAATATATCTCTTCAGGGGTAGCTGGAAGCTGGAGTCAACCTCAACATGTTTTTTTCAAATGCAACCCTATGGCTTGCGACCGCTCATTGGAAAGCTGGTTGGAAGAGGAATCCAGGGTACTGATCATATGCTAGTTTGCAGAACGTTTACGAGGTCGCATAAAATGCAAATATAATTTCGAATTACAATATATTCTCGACATATTTTCATCCAAATTCCGACTTTTAGTAACAGTGATATAGGGCATTTCCGCACGAGATTGCAATAACACTTCGTGAGCGATAAATACGTTGAAAAAAAAATTAATCTTAAAATTATATTTCAATATCATGCAACCTTCAAACGTATGGAAAACTGAAATTTGACTACCACGCTTAAATCCTCTTTTCACCAGCTTTCCAATTAGGGGTCACAAGCCTAATGGTTCCATTTGACAAAATCATTTTGAGGGGGGTTTCAGCTAGAATCACTGGATCGTATTGGTTAACTAATACCATCCAGTTACTCTAGTTTCAGCTACCCCTGGAAAGACATATTCCTGATATTGGTTGCTTGAGGTAGGTGAATACATTAAATCGTTATAATAACTGTCGCGAATTTTTAGAAAAAATATTCACTTCCCCGCTAACAAATTTATTCCAGTTAAAATCTCCACACTGTATATAAAAATGCATGTTTTATCTCTTATAGACTCGGAAACGGCTTGACCGATCACACAATTTTTCGTGGTGTTTTATTGTCTGGAGAAAATTCTTATGAGAGGAAAATATTTGAAATTCAAGATGGCGTTTGAGGCGTTAGAGGAGTCCGAAATTATGATTCTTTTGTCAAAATTGGGAAATTCATGATGTCGGATCCAATATGGCAGACGAGTTTTGTAATTATGTCCCGATTCTATTCAAAATTGGTATCTGGTGGTTTTAGTGCGGTCCGAGATTATGATTATTTCGTCAAAATTGGCAAATTCAAGATGTCGGATCCAATATGGCAGGCGAGTCTTGTAATTATAATCCGATTCTATTCAAAATTGGTATCTGGGTGATTTTGGAGTCGAAAATCATGAAACTATTCTCAAAATTCGAAAATTCAAGATGGCAGATCCACTATTGCGGACATCTTTTGTAATTATGATCCGAGTCTGTTCAAAATTGGTATCTTGGACTTTCTGGGTTCGGGGCTTATGATTCTTCCGTCAAATTCTCGAAATTTGAAATGGCAGATCCAATAGGGAGTACGAATTTATTAATTATGATCCAAAGTCAGTTGTTAAATATCCAACTGAAAAAATATTTTCTAGAAATAATGTACACAGGAAAACAAAGTTTACCAGGTCAGCTATAACCAATAAAATGAATTCAGTATTTGTGTACTTTCTTTCCTTCAAATTTATTTCTCCTGCAACCGATACAAAAGTCGTCCATTTTAATACCAAAATTAGATCTTGAATTGACGTTTCTATTGCTGACACAAGAATAGTTATGTTGCTTGGCAACACATTCAGTTCCTAGGAGCTTAAGTTGAACTTTAGCTCCTAGGGACTGAAAAGGATGTACTAGAGGTCATCAAGAATAAACAACATTGTTAAGGTTTTTTTTTATCGCTTGGAGCGCAAATTTTGCTTTCGCTCGGCTTCGTTAGACGCTGCGCCTCGCAAATGCAAAATTCGCTTATCAAACAAAGTGTCACTCTTGATCCTAGGGAAACAATCAACTATTAGTGAAAGTGTGTTGTAATACTGAATGAGCTACAAATATTTTCTTGTATATTTATCATCACACTTTTAATATTTCATTCCCTACCCTTCCTTGATTTGCCTATAGAATCTATAGAAGCGTGATTTTTAGTTTCCTAAACTACTATTTATTGTTCTCCAAATATGGTTGATTTTGCTGTACTTCAATTTTGTGGACTATAATGCAATATGTCATTGATTTAACTCGTCTCTTTTTTTGTGATAGTTGTTTGTTGTATCTGAATGAGACCTCATTATAGATAATATTATCAATATGCTTCTCGATCAGTTTATTTAGATCAATTCGCAAGGCCTTTTGTAATTGAGCGAATTTTAAATGTCATGGCTCGACAAAGGTAAACAAAATCGAAATTAACACAATTTAAATGAATCCAATCTAATGGCTGATCATGAAAAATCTCGTTCTCGTTCTTGTCGATCTGGATCGTGTTCTATTTTCTGAAATGTGTAGGTGACATAATTGAAAGTGGACTCGGATGATGGTCCTTTTAAGGAGACTTTAGTGAAACTTGTCTGCTCAATTATTACATTGGCTGAATGCAGTTGCATATATATTTCATTCTACATATCAGAAAAAAAATCAAAACCTTCTAGACACATGCCTACTTACAAAACACACCTATTGTTTGGACTATTTAGGATCTAGGATAAATGATATTCAGTTTTATTCAATTTGAAATGTTCATTACTTTTTTTTAGACTCACTTGAATTTTTGCACGTTTACGAGTAACATTAGATCAATATCAACTCATCTAACTACCCCATCACACCCAGAATCAATAACATATCATTACACAACTTTAGACTCATTACTTATGATGAATTAAAAAACATAATATTTTCAATGCCCAACAAAGGGGAGCACTGATGACATTAATATCGTTTTCATAAAAAATTGCTATGATAACATCAAAGAACCGTTGCTGAACCTCATTAATACATCACTAGAGACAAGCGCCTTTCCCAATGATCTAAAAATTTCAACTATCATCCCAATACCAAAAATTGCAAACCCACATAATGCTTCTGATTTGAGGCCAGTCAATATGCTAAGCTCCATTGAAAAAATTCTCGAAAAGACAGTTTATGAACAATTAGTAGGCTCTGTAGAGGAAATTAAAATAGTTAACAATGTTCAGTCACGTTTTAGAAGTAAGTATAGCTGTGAAACAGCTTTCCAATGTGTTCTGGATGACTGGAAAAAAGTTTAGGAGCAAATCAAATGACAGGTGCTGTATTTCTTGACCTTCAAAGGGCTTTTGAAACTGTGGATATAGGTTGATTGAAAAACTAAGATGTGTTGGCATCGAAGATAAAGCATTGAAATGGGTAGTTAATTATTTGGATAACAGCATTAAGAGGGCATATTCCACAGCGCCTCCGCCAATAAAAGAGGTACCGCTCCCAAGTTCCCCTATGGTTATGGATCATCCAAGAGGCTCAATTTTTTTTTCTGGGTAGTCAAAGGTGCAATCGATGCATCCTATCGAATGGATTCTCATTTTTTTACATAGACTAATTTATAATCACCTGTAAAGTAGTGCGTTTTTGACCGATTTTGTGAATTTTTTTCTACGTTGTGGAATCAAAAATTGAAAATCTAGTCGATAAGATGCACAGATCAGATGTAGTACTCTTCAGAAATAATTTTTGTTTGCTGAAATCTTATTTGGTTTTCGCATGGGAAATTGGGAGCGGAGGCACCGTGAAGAAGAATTTTCCCTGTGGGCGCGGCACTTAACAAAAATAAGCTCCTCCCATAAAGTTCAAATGCCTTATTGATAGTCAATGGTCCTATGATGAAGTATGGTATATTCATTATTTTCACGAAATAGTCTGCGATCCAATTTGTCTTTTCATACTACGAACCTATTTATATTTCGTTCAATAAACACCTACCAGCCTTATACTTGATATATAATAAATATAGGTATCATGGAATCAACAAAGCAACTGTGTTATACCTACTCAGTTAATAGATTATTTTCTAATTCTTCGAACACAGGGAAGTACTGGAATGTTCTAAGCGATATTTTTAATATACCTATAGTCCAACAAGTAGATAGATATAAGGAACAAGATAAAATGATCAAATGGATCAGGGTGATTTAAACTATACGTAGACTAATTTTTTCCATGCAAAGTTGAGCCAACAAAAAACACAGTTGCTTCGTCATACCGTCATTTCTATTGAATAGGTGAGATGAGCGAAAAATTAAGATTCATTAGACATTTAACATTTTCCATATTATTTTTTATTTTGAAAAAAATGAATGAAATACCGATTTACCTATTCACAGAGGAATGTCCTAGATAACAATAATAATATGGAATATATCGATAGAATCCAAGATAGAATTCTTTTGATGATAGGTTAGGTATGCGTATTTTGCTTTCCAATCAATTCAAAGAATCTAGAAAATAATCTATAGAAGAGATCAAACTGAGCCAAAGCTGTGAAAAGAAGAAGAAAGAACGAATCACTGTCATTCTTTGCAGGGATATATGCAAGAGAAAAAATCTCCACCTCTCAGACGGTTAGTTAGAGAATTATATATCCAAAAATACCTAATCAATGCAACATCGTTGGTTTAGGGAGAATGAACATTTGCATCAGAATCTGAATTAGAATAGGTGAGATAAGCGAAAAGGTACTCCAAGATTTATAAGACATTTTACATTTTCCATATTATTTTGGAAAAAATTGATGAAATAGTGATTCACTCACTATAATTATATGGAATATATAGATGGTGGTATAGCTATAGGGATGCGTTTTTTGCTTTCCAATGAATTCAAAGAATCTAGAAAATAATGTATAGAAGAGTTGAGATCAAACTGAGTCAAAGCTGTGAAAAGAAGATAGGAAAAACGAATCACCGTCAGTCTTTGGATGGGTATGCAAGAAAAAAAATCGTCACCTCAGACGGTTAGTTAGAGAATTATATATCCGAAAATAATCAATGCAGCATCGTTGGTTTGGGGAAAATAAACATCCCAATAATGCAGAATTGGAGAAACATATTGAAAAAAAAAAAGAAAAATAAATACATTGAATCGATGAAAATCTCCAGTATATACCTATTGCTGCTAGTCCTGATGGAGTAACTATGAAGATGGCGAAATAATCATTAAAGTTCAATGTCTCTATAATTGTGCCAAATATCTGACTATACGGATAAAGGAATAGCAAAAAGAAAAATAACATTTTGGAATGAAGATGGCCAAGTTAACAAAAACCACAATTGGTTTCATCGAATCCAGGGACAACACCATGTTGAATAAATTTTTTATTTTGCAGCTTGGACTCGAAATGGCATAAAAGTGGAAGCTATTCCTAGATAATGATGATTTCTGGTCATCCAAAATGGAATCAGAAATTCATTTTGAAACGATGATCCCGGAACTTGTCGACACCAGACTTATCAGAGGCATGGAAATTAGAGCCTACTTATGTCAATGGGAAGGACACTACATCGCATTCTTAGTGGTTACAATATTATGTTTGTATCAAAATCGATTGAATCAATCGAGGGGTAAACCCGTGTAAACCACCACCTTACAATAATAATTATGATGTACACTTGCACAGGCATGTGGGATTCCAAGTCACCTATTGCAATATTAATAGTAGTTTGAAAAACTAATGAAACACGCTTTTATAGATAACCAAACTAAGAAGAAATACGTAGAAAATAAAGAGTTGTTTGGAAAAATGAAGAGATGGATTGCCAAAGTAAAGAGAAGCAGAACATAAATAGATCAGTTAGAAAAACTAATGAAACACGCTTTTATGGATAGTCAAACTGAAGAGAAGTATAGAAAATAAAATAAAAAAAAGTGTGTTGATACATATTAAACTTAATTTTTTTTTTATAAATGATGTTTATGACAAAACAACGTTTGTCAGGTCAGCTAGTGCCTGATATAACATTGTCTGATTCCACTAGCGAAAAGCTACTTTACACCTGAACAACTTCTCATAATTTACAAAGCACAGATACGGCCTGTTCTAGAATCCTGCTCCCACATATTATGGGGTTCAGCACCAAAACATACAACACCGTAAAAGGCGAGGTAAAAGGTCAGCGACCTTCCACTTTTCCATATAGATACTTCCAAGGGAAATATTCTTCAGAAATCTCTGATATCATTCCATCACTAGCAATATACCAGTCAGACGAACTCGACAAGCCCAGTCAACACATCGTGTCGTGGTCAACCTCGAAATATGTCGAACAGCATTTTATCAAATCTCGTTTGTCTGTAGAATGGCAAAGCTCTGGGATTCATTGCCTGAGGAAGTGTTTCCAAGCACTCAGGTAGGTATGTTCTCCAATAGTTATAGGAAAATCCGATACCCATCTCCTCTACCTGATGTCCTCCTTAGATGCGGATTCCCTTCCGTGCGCTCCTAGCGATAAAAAATACAACATTCCATATTTGGTATGTATCGCTCTAATTTCGAAAATATCCTGTAGATAATATAAACATCATCATATACCTATTGGTTAATTATCAAAAATGTACAAAATATCTAAAAACCAGCACAAAAATTCAAATAAGTAGGTACTGACAAAAGTTCAAAATATTAGTAATTATGAGACCATTTGACTGCCTTCCATGAATAATCAACCGGTTGTCAGTGAGCGGCAAAAAGTATACAAGACGGTGTCGCGCTACTTCATATGTTCGGTGCCCTCGACGTGCCGCTCGATAAACATACGATTCCCAGCTTTCTAGGAATTCTTCAGGTTGATCCCGCCCCTTTCGGAGTGGAAGGGCTAAGACAGAAAACTGATAGCATTCGAATAATTTCGAGTGGCATATGGCCTCTTAACAGGAAACAGAAACTAAGGATTAATAATACATTCTCTGAAGAGATAGGAAATAGTCATGGGGTTCCACAGGGAAGTGTTCTTGGACCTTTATTGTTCTTAATATACATTGATGATATCGTCGAAGCAGCAGGAAACTGTAAAATCCACTTGTTTGCTGATGACACCTTAATTTATTTCTCTGGATCAGATCCAGCGCTTTTGGTACAAGCTCTCAACAATTCAGTAAATCAAATACAAGAATGGTGCTGTGGAAGTATTTTGAAAATTAATGGTAAAAAAACTAAATTCATGCTCATTGCTAATCAAATAAATTATAATAAATTTCTTGAGGAGAAAATGGAGATAAAAATTGGTGAAGAAATAATCGAGCGGGTAGAAAAAATCAAATACCTTGGTATTATGGTTGATTATGGACTAACTTTCAAAGAACATGCAGATTTTCTAATAAAAACAATTTCTTTTAAAGTAAACTTTCTTTATAGATGTTCAAGGTATCTCAATCAATGGACCAAAAGGATTATTATTATTATTCCCAACAACATATAATCTCCAGAAGTTCAAAAGGAATTCCAATACCTACCTCCTATCCCTATCCTCCCTAGGAACGCACGATGTTCTTTGAACATTATAGGGATTCCCTCTCGTGCGCTCCAAGCGATAAAAAAAAAAAAAAAAAAAAAAAAAAATATACAACACTATCATACTTCCCCACTTCACTTACTGCTCAACTATTTTGTATTTACTAAACCAAAATCAAATATATAGATTTCAAAAACTACAGAACCGATCAATGCGCATAATCCTTTCATGCAATAGACACACTCCTATTACGACAATGTTGAACAGACTAGAATGGTTGCCAGTTAAAGATTTTTTATTGTACCAGGCACTCATTTTTGTATACAAAATAAGTAATGGCACTGTACCGGACTACCTGAGAGATAAAGTGAACTATAATTTCGAATATCACCACTATGAAACGAGATCTAGAAGAGATTTCCACATTCCCCATGCCAACTGCAATAAAAAGTGCACACTCTCTCAATTGTTTTAAAATCACTCTGAAAAAACATTTGTTGGAGGGAAGTAATCTCTAATGTGAATGATTGACTTTATTTTATTTTTATTGTACAGTATGTATGTAGTAATGTTGTTTGACATATTTATGTGTTTAATGTACAATGTATTAGTTTTTTATGACTAAATAAACGGAAATATATATCACACACAAAAACAACACCACCTTGTATCACAAAATCTGCGAAGAAATTGGTGCCATATAATGGAGATTTTCAAAATATTCATTTTCTGAAAAAATAAGGAAGCTGCAAGAATGGGCGAGTGGACTGATAATGAATTATTGGCATTCAGTTACTCCACTGTGTCGTCAGTGACCTGAATTAATTTTTGCAACTCATGTTCATTGAAACTTTCCTTCCTATTTTTCATCGTAGAAGCCGCTGTTGAAGTTTGGCAGTAATGAATCATGCGTTGTTGAAAATTGTTGAATTTTAGAGCTCATTTCAAACGTACCGTCATGACCGCCATTAGGCGATACGTCGAATACATGGTGACGTCAGTTTTTATGCTGTTTCGTTATTGATCAAATAATCTTCCATATCTCCTCACAAAGCAATGTTGTCAAGTCACTCATGATATTATAGTAAATCCTTGACTTTCTCGAGCAACCAGCATGTCCAAATATGTTTCATACCCCATAACAAAATATCATGTGAATGTTGGATACTTGGTAACATTGTACTGAATGCTGAGAACTGACAAGACCACGCTCACAATTCGTGCGCCGTGTTGTCACTTTCACCGCTTCAAATGTCTTCTAGTGTGAATTGATTCAGTTATAGTTATTTATACAAATTTATTATGAGCAATAAGCCACAAATTTCGAGGAAACATTTTGAAACAATTGATTTTTTAACATCCCTGAGTATTTTTCAGGATTCCATGGTAGACCTAGTGAGCGGTCTGGGCGCACCCTTATCGAAGGTGGTGATCTCAGCCCCCGTCCAGGCGTTCCACTTTACTCTTCAGAACGCGGAGTATTCAGCGCCGGGCAGTCCCGCCCTGGAACTGAAGACCATCACCAGGAGCGAGCTGTGCAAGGAGATGAAGACTGGCTCCAACTGGACTCTGGAGAGGGATCAGGATCAGGCTGGTCCATACATATTCCGGTGGGTACTTCATATTTTCCACCAGAATCTCGAAAATTCCTTTTTTGTACAAACGTCAAAAAATGACAAGGTTCGCGCATTGATGACAAATTGCGAAGTGACACTTTTTTTCAGTTTCCTACGTTACCATGATACCTAGCACAAAACAATGCGCGAAGTAAAACAGTGCGCGAAGTACCTACTTCGCGCATTGTAATTTAAAATATATGAGATATTCATATTTCAACTTTACGGTCCTCGATCGAGCAAACATCCACGAAATAATTCATTTCTGAATGTTCAACAAAAACTTTGTTCTATCTCTTGGAGCACACGAAAGGAAATTCCTATTATGTTCGTGGAACATCGTGCGTACCTTGGGAGGATAGGGGGAGGCCTTTTAAGCCAGTTCAAGACTATTTTTTATATCAAGCTAAGCATATTTCGACTTTAGAACTATATTTTTTGACGTTTGTAGAAAAAATGTTGTTTGCAACTCGAGCGCGAAATACTTTGGTCATTTCGACTATTTTTTAACTCAAATACGCCTCATTAAACAAATCAGATCTCGATCACCAAAGTAGCATTTCGCACTCTAGATACAAAAATAACTTTTTTTTTTTTTTCGAGATTCTGGTGAGTTCATTCATGCATTATCATTATTTTTCACTTCGGATAATTAACTTCCTAATGACGTCATTTGTCAACCACCAATGATAGTTGACAAGAACTGCAACCATTATACAGGGTGCCCAGAGATAAAACCAACAAAACTCATGGGGTTATAGGGCCTGCCACTATGATGTCAGAATGCAAAATCAGTAAGAGCCGGCAGCAGGTTTCTACCGTCATCTGATAACGAAATGATATTCAGAGAAGTGCAAAAAAACGGCCAGAATTGTAACTTTTGAATTATTCTAGATAGGGTTTTGAAAATTGGTGGGTAGCAACTATACAAAATTGCTCATCAATGGATGAAACAATTTTGCTTTTCTCACTCCCAGATTCACTGGAAACGACCCCATCTTTTGATTTTCAGATGGGATACCCTGTATTGTATTAAATAATCGGTTAGAAATTATCATGACGAATTCAACGAAACCGGGTTTGATAGGGTTATTTCTAACGATTACAAAGATATTTGCGTTCGAAGTTTCCATTATGTATGCTGTATATGGGTGTGACTTCGCAATATCAAAACTTCTTTCTCTATCACACTCGTTGAGCATATGGAAACTTAGAACGTGAATATTTTCGTAATCGTTTGAAATAACCTATCAAACTCGGTATCGATGAATTCGTTATGACAATCCCTAACCGATTACAGAATACTAGCTGACCCGGCAAACGTTGTTTTGCCATAATATTATTTCTAGAAAAAATGTTTTTACAAATATTCATCAAAGAACTTTCATTATCTTATTTATACCTCTTTTTAGTTCGGCTATCCATGAAAACATGATTCTTCAGTTTTTCAAACTATTTTACTTATTCTCTACTTCTTTTTAGTTCGGCACTCTATATTTCTTCATTTTTTCATTTATTCACTACTCACTCCTTTTTAGTTTGGCTATCTATGAAAACGTACGTGTTTCATTTGTTTTTCAAGCTATAATTTATTACAATAGCTGATACTGCTACCTGGTAACGTTGTTTTGCTACATACATTCTCTTCTAGAAAATATTTTTTCAGTTGAATATTTATCAACACACTTTTATCATTTTGTTTTGAACTTCTTTTCAGTTTGGATATCGATAAATCGTGTTACATTAGTATTTCAAACTACTATTTTTATTTTCTACTTCTTCTTAATTCGACAACCTCTCTCGTTTTTTAAACTATACTATCAATTTTCTACATCTATTCTATTTGGCCTCGAGTTTGGCTATCTATATAAAAGCTTGTTTCATTATAGTTTTTCAATCCACTATTCATTACACAGTTCTTCTACCATATTGGATCCGCCATCCCGAATTTCCCAATTTCAGATAATAAAATTATAATCTCCGTCCCCGAAAACCCCCAGATACAGATTCTGAATAGAATCGGATCATAATTACAAAACTCGTCCGCCATATTGGATCCTCCATCTTTAATTCATTATCTTCGACCCCGAAAGTCACCCGATACCAATTTCGAATAGAATATGACCATATATACAAAACTCGTTCGCCATATTGGATCCGCATTCTTGAATTTACAAAATTTGACGAAAGAGTCATAGTCTCCGACCCCGAAATCCCCCAAATACCAATTTTGAATGAAATCGGAAAACAATACTCGTCCGCCATATTGGATCCGCCATCTTGACTTTCCGATTCAAAAAATAGATTACGACCGATTCTCATACCTCTCCTGAATACGTACAAAAAATCTCATACGAATCGGTCGAGCCGTTTCGGAGGAGTTCGACCACTAACACCGTGACCGGGACAGAAGAATTTTATGTATTAGATAATACAGGGTGTCCCATTTAAAAATCGAAAGTTGGGGTCGTTTTCAGTGAAACCGGAAGTGATAGAAAAAAAAATTTCAGCATATTTTCGGAAGATCTCTTATGATGGTTTTTCGAATAATTTGACTATAATTTCTGATCATATCTGAATTTATATATATCCTTTTCCTCCGTCTGATAGAAGGATAGATAGATGATAGTCTAATACTGAGAAATTAGGGGACCTAGGGGGCCAGGAATGAGACCGCCATGACCTATCCAGCGATTGATTAGAGAATTGTTTGTCTATAGGTATTCTCCCACTTGTACTGATTAATGTGCAGGTGCCCTATCCCGTTGAGAGAAACTACCTATTAAGGTCTATTTCCATACATCCATCACAGTCTTCTTTTGAAGTGTTTCCTGAATGATAAAAACACCGAACTCACAATTTGATTTGCTGATTGTAGTATGAGTTCCCAGCGAGCACAAAATCATCTCAGAGATGTTAAAAGTACGAGATTTCGAGACATTGAACCCCCACTGCGATGTTCTGTTCACACATGAATAGAACTATTATAGAACAGCCAATGTCCGCCGCAGGCAGCAATTATCGAGACGTCCTTGATGTGTCACAAAACTACCTTCTCCCTAGTTCTTTTTAAAGCCTTTTCATAGACACAACAGAACATTTTCAACGCGTCTTGCGCACATCAAATCGCTGTAAAAAAACATTTTCGAGGTACTTTCCTGAAGCCTTTTCTCAAAATGAACTTTTGCATTAGGATACCATTTCCCTTGAATGAAATATGCATTAAAATAGATTGAACATAAAAATATTTTCTTGATATGAAATTACCTTCTTAACCGGTTTCTGAGTAGTGCTTACTACACAAAGACATATAATTGGAAATAGGTTTCCCAATTTTTGAAATGTTCTCCACAATGCATAATTTTGCAACTGCGGAGAAGCTGTGTATTGATGAATTCGTACTTTTATATACTTATTGATTACACTGAGGCACCGAACAACACATCTTGCATCTGATGGTCATTATTACAAACTAAATAAGTCTTCTAACACAATAAACTTCACCAAATTCCTTTCTGTTCGTTAGCAGCGTGATGTAAGCGTGACATGCTGCAAACGCGAATGCCAATTGCGAACAAAAAGAACAAAATCGAAAACAAGTCAGAATTCATCGTATTGTGACGTAAGCATGAGACGTTGTGGTGGGGCAAACAAAGAAAGTGCACAAAAGAACAAAAACAATACTTTCAATATCCTTTCTAAGACCTCTTTGGGAAGTGCATATTACGCCACAAAAAAATATCCTCATGCCTACATTTCTAAAACATCCCAAAACATCCCAATGATACCTCTCAGTAGGCAAACAAAGAAATGCCACAGAAGAACAAAAACAATACTTCGATATCCTTCAAAGTCCTCTTTGGTCAGTGCATATTACGTCTCAAAATAACATCGTCATGCCAACATTTTCAGAACATCCCAAAACATCCCAGGGATATTTGTGCTCGCTGGGTTCTGATTCGGAGAAAATACATCACCTAAGCATTATGTTCTTATATTTTTTTATCTCTTGGGGCACATGGAAGGAAATTCCTATGATGTTCAATAGATATAATTCAAAATGTTCGTCGTGGCATATAACCAGAAAAATAGTTGTTTTCTGTTGAATCCATAAAGAACCATGTCCATGTCCCATGTACCATGTGATAATTTTGTATGTAATACGTAATGTGTTCCACTTACTATGGGCGAGTTTCGGCATCAATTATATTCATCTAGATGGAATAGCCCAAGGGATTCCATACCATACGACAGATGTAATTATAGACTATAAAAGTTTGAAGAAGCGCTGGCATCTGGGATGAATGATCTAATGCATCTTGAATATTACTCCATTTAGATGCCAATACTTGATAAATCTCTGATAGGACCTTGTCGTGTAATTAGACAAAAGAAAGGCCCACTCGAGAGGTCATTAGTCAATGTGAACTGGTCTTCTGACGAGACAAGCCTATACAAAAATGGAGTAGCCAATAACTATGTGGAATTTTCTGTCAATTTTTGTGAAATCAAATTTTTTTTACGCTATTATTAGAGATACAGAGAAACTGGAAATACTTTTTTCTCCGATTGGCAGCAAATATTAATTTTGCTGACACATATCAATCAGCAAAGTATTACTTCTCCTGCCTAGGCAGCAAAATAGGTACTTTGCTGCCTAGGCAGCAAAGTGGTTACTTTGCTGATTGATATGTATCAGCAAAATTAATAATCCATAAATCGTTTATAATTTCCTTCATATTTCATCCGAGACTTCTCCGGCAACAAATTCAACTCTATATTTTTTGCCACCTCCCTCATTTCTGGAGGTGTAAGTACTTCCAGGTCGCTATCAGTGTCCATTATATAATAATTTAAATATACCGATCTTTTCGCACAACTGTCAGAAATTTCATGAATTGTCAAACTATAATTATTATGGATATTTCCATAGCAACCAACCATTTCACCAACTGCGATTTCTATCAAATTTTATTTTAATTGAACACTACAGG